GAGATCTCTGGAGCGAGGGGGTGGCATTGGAGGGCCTCTCAGGGCCATCCCAGGGGCCCGCGTGGGGGCGAGACAAGGAGGAGGAGGAGGAGAAGGAGGAGGAGAAGGAGAAGGAAGAGGAGGAGGAGGAGGAGGAGGAAGACGACGACGACCACAACAACCACAACCACCACCACAACCACCACGACCACGACCACGACCACGAGGAAGAGGAGGAAAAGGAAAAGGAAGACGATGAGGGCAAGGACGAGGAGGAGGAGGAGGAGGAGGAGTTCAACGGGGAGGAGGACAGAGCCCTCAAAATCGCCTCTTGAAGCCCTCTTGGGGCTCTTTTGGGTGATCGTGGGGTCCTCTTGGAGTTCTTTTGGGGGGTCTTGGGGCCCTCTTGGGGGTTTCTTGGGAGCCCTGGGGGGCCTCTTGAGGCTATCGTATAGGGCGTCGGTGCAAAGAGAGGGGTCCTAACGGTTGCCCCCCCCCCCCCCTTTCTGGGCCCTTCGAAATCGCCCCGTGGGGCTTTCTTGGGGCGATCTCGAAGCGTATCTGAAGCGAAGGCGAGAAGACACAAACCATAGATTATCCTTGGGGTTTTGAAGGATTTGGGCCTCTTGGGGGGGATCCGATTGAGGGGGATCCGAGAGCGCTTGGAGCCGTCTTGCGGCCCTCGTCGGGCCTCTTGGAGGCATGCCGGAAGCTACATTGAGCCATCTTCGGCTATCTTCAGCCGCCTTGGAGGCCATCTTGGAGCATAGGAGGTCCTCTTGGAGCCATCTTTGGCGCCCTGACCGACCGCGGCCGGCCCCAACAAACCACAGGGGGGAGGGGGAGGGGGAGGGGACCCCTCCCCGAGGGGAGGAGGGCTCTTGGAAGAGGAAAGAAAGAGCTCGCCAGACCACCTCAGGCCACAGGGCTGGTGTGGCGGGATTGCCAGGGATTGGGACGGAGTCGGACGAGGAGGGGCAGGCTACGGGACGGCGGCTCGAAGGCGCCTTCGGCGAGTCGCCGCCGACCCTTTTCTTTCCTGGAAACGCCTGTGTGGCAAGGCGTTGGGCCAAAGTCTGGCCAAACTATTGGCCTGTCGTTGCGAAAAGCCTTCGGAGAACGCTCGGCTCAGGGAGAGAGAGAGAGAGAGAGAGAGAGAGAGAGGAAGAAGAAAGGAAGGCGAAGGAGGAGGAAGAAGAGGAAGAGTTGGAGGGGGAGGAGGAGGAGGAGGTGGTGGAGGAGGAAGAGGAGGCCCCTTGGGGACCTCCGCCGCATCGGGAGCCTCTTGGGCCGTATTGAGGCCTTCTTGGGCCGTCTTGGGCAAACATGTTGGGTCGTCTTTAGGTCATCTTGGCCACCTGGCAGGCGTCTTGGGACCATCTTGGAGCCATCTTGGGCCAGAAAGCCGACATGAGGTTCCGTTTGGGGTGGATGCATCTTGGGGGGCATCATATGTGGCCTCTTGGAGTCTATGGAGTCTTGGAGGCCATGCTGCGGAAGAGGAATCGAAGAGTCACTTCGTGTTCCCCTCTCCGGTGGCATCTTGGGAGCCTCTTGGGCCCTCTGGGGGGCCATTTCGGGTGCCTCTTGGGCTGCATTTCAACCGAAAGGGCGAGCACGCGGAAATCATACAAAAAACCTCTGGTTGGTCCACGAGGAGGAGGAGGAGGAGGAGGAGGAGGAGGAGGAGGAGGAGGAGGAGGAGGAGGAGGAGGAGGAGGAGGAGGAGGCCCCCCGTGCCTCGAAGTAGGCCCCAGGACGGTCCCCTGGGGGCACATCAGACCGTGCATGTTGGAGTTCGAGATTGGGGCCACGCTCCCAGGGTTTCGGGACAAGTCACGCGGCTATTCCCAGGAGCGCGCGAAGCACGGCAGACTGTGCCTTGCAAAAGGCAGTTACAATCAAGTCACGCAAGAAAATTCGAAGGAGCTTTGCATGCGCGTCACCCGGTGCCTATGGCACGGTGGCCGATCCTTGCAGGGTGTGAAGTGTCGGACCCGAAGATGGCATCGGCCAGGAGATAAGAACGTCACAGCTCATTAGTCTTCTCGCTAGCGGTGACAGCCAGGAGTCTTGAGGCACATAATGCTAGAGCGCGGAGTCATTGCTCAATGGCGACATTGCTTTTAGCATCATGTTGTGATATTTGTGCGATCGCAGATCGGCGGCGTATGGCATACAAAAGACTACCCAAGGAGTGGCTCAGGGCGTGCTGGACAGACGTGGACAAGGCTCGCTCTCTTTCGCTCTCTCTCTATTCCTCTCTCTCTCTGTATACGTCATTCCTCCTTTTCATTATACCCCGCATAGTGCATACTTTCTGACAGAAGTCGTTGGTTGATAATTCGCTATTGCATTTTCCTCTCACCACAACTAATGCACACATAGCTGTAATCTATATATATAAACATACATGCACAGATGTGTATATATAGTCGGACATGTATACATGTATGGGTCGACAACGTTATCATCCCCGCACACTGCTGTACGCATATGCGTATACATATAGATTCCCCTTCTTATATTAGTATAAGCCCGGGCGGGGGAAAAAAAGCCCACACACACACACACACACAAAACCGGACTCCCAGGATCTGGGGCTTTGGGACCTTCCGGACGGGCCTGCAAGCGGCACCCCAGGCCTCGCAGGGCGTGGCGCGCTCCCGAAACGACCCCAGAGAGCCCCAATACGGTCCACGACGACCCCCAAGAAGCCGTCATACCCCCAAAGATCGTCCCGAAACGTCCCAAGAGGCCTCCAAGAGCACTCCCAAGAAGGTCCCAAGAGGCAAAAATCTTTAATTGTTGTTGGCTTTTGGTGAATTTGGGGGTTCTCCTCTTTTCGGCTTCCCGACGCTCCAAGACGGCGGTCTTCTGGGCGTCCGAAGCCGCCTGGGAGGCTCCAAAAACGCCCCACAACCATCCGAAAGGGCTTCCAGGCAGTCCAAGAGAGCCCCAAAACGGCACAACAGGGGTCCAAGATGGCCCTCAGAGAGCCCCATGGCGGCCCAAGATGGCCCCAAGACACTCCGAAGCATTCCAAATCGTGACCCGGTCGTTCAGGGAGACCGCGGTTGGAGGCAGGGTGGCCCGAGGAAGCCCCCAGAGGCCCCCAGAACACGCCCAGGAGGCCTCCAGAAGGCTTCTAGAAAGCCTGAAACAACTTTTGTGAGGCCCCCAGAGGCTCTCCAAGGAGGAGCCTCCGCACAAAGAGCTGAGGAGGATGGGGAGAATGCGCAGGGCATGGCGAAAATGAGGAAAAAGAAGCATGGAGGAAGGATAACCAATAACACTATTATAGCGGCGATGCCGGAAACGGCAACAAGGAGTTATCGCTAATTTGTCGGCTTGACCTTCCTGCTAGTCCGCCTGCACACCAAATTTTAAGGACCAAGGTGCATGGCGCGAAGCGCCACTGCAGTCTTTTGTACATATACATATATATATATATATATACATGTCAGAGCGAGGGGCCGAACAGTCATTCACTCTCCCTGGGTGCGTGGCTGAAGTGGGCTTTCGCGGTGCGGGTTGTTGTTGTTGTTGTTGTTGTTGCTGCTGCTACTGTTGTTGTCGTCCCACCCGCGACCCGACCCGCGACCCACCCGCGACCCACCCGCGACCCAGCGGCGACCCGCCCGCGACCCACCCGTGACCCACCCGCGACCCATCCGCGGCCCCACTTTCGACCCGACGCACCGCGCGACCTGCCCGCGACCCGCCCGCGACCCACCCACGACCAACCCACGACCCACCCGTGACCCACCCACGACCCAGCCGCGACCCGCCCGCGACCCACCCGCGACCCGGCCCGCGACCCACCCGCGACCCGCCCGCGACCCACCCGTGACCCACACACGACCCATCCGCGGCCCCATTTTCGACCCGCCCGCGACCCACCCGCGACCCACCCGCGACGCCCCGCGCGACCTGCCCGCGACCCGCCCGCGACCCACCGCGACCCACCCGCGACCCACCCGCGACCCACCCGTGACCCACCGACGACCCAGCTGCGATCCGCCCGCGACCAAGCCGCGACGCACGGCGCGACCCACCCGCGACCCACCCGCGACCCGCCCGCGACCCACCCGCGACCCAACCTTCGACCCGCCCGCGACCCACCCGCGACCCACTTTCGACCCGACCTGCCGCGACCCGCCCGCGACCACCCGCGACGCACCCGCGACCCACCCGTGACCCACCCACGACCCAGCCGCGACCCGCCCGCGAGCCACCCGCGACGCACCGCGCGACCTGCCCGCGACCCCCGCGACCCACCCGCGACACCCCGCGACCCGCACCGCCCGCGACCCGCTTTCGACCCGCCCGCGACCGGCCCGCGACCCACCCGCGACGCACCGCGCGACCTGCCCGCGACCCGCCCGCGACCCCACCCTCGACCCACCGCGACCCACCGGTGACCCACACACGACCCAGCCGCGACCCGCCCGCGACCCACCCGCGACCCACCCGCGACCCACCCGCGACCCACCCCGCGACCCACCCGTGACCCTTCCCGCGCTAGCCCCCCTTACTCCTTTCCACAGTTGCGGGGGCGCTACATATAAATGTATATATGTATATACATGTATATATACCACATATATACATACATACATACAGACATACATACCTGCATGCATGCATGCATGCATGCATGCATACATATATACATGCATGCATGCATGCATGCATGCATACATGCATACATGCATACAAACATACATATATACGTATGAGCATACGTGCATGCATACATACATACATGCATGTATGCATACATACATGCATGCATGCATGTATACATACATACATACATACATACATGCATGCATGCATGCATACATGTAAATACACATATATCTATGTATAAATATAGTGTAGGCATACACACGTGTATATGTACGTGTGTATATATATATATATATATATATATATGTGTGTGTACGTGTGTATGTGCTCACCTGCTGGCCTTGTCGTCCCCCGGCAGCGGATGTGCTCGTCTCGTTTTCGCGCGGATGTTGCATGTCGTCTCCCAGGTGACTGAGATGCTTCAGTCCGGCGAGGTGAAAGACATCCACCAGGGCAACGCGAACGGATTTACAGGTCGGAACAATATAGCTTAGCCCATCGATGGATAACACGATCGGATGATAACACGATTGAAGCAGCACGTTGATATTGGATGTGACATTCGAAGAGGGATGGAAGTTGCGCCATGACGAGATCTAAGAGCAGGGTCACTTCTCCATCAGAGGCAGTGAGGAGAGGGCAGAAATAGAGCAGGACGGACAAGCTCAAACGGAGGGTTGGAGCAGAATAGGCGAGGCATCCCGCGCTGGCGGACTGAAGGTCCAGTGTGGAGCCCAGCGGACGTCTACTTGTTTGGGGACAAGATCACGGAGAAAACGCCACCCTGCGGAAAGGCCCCGGGCCGCTGAAGAAGGGACCCTTTTCGTTGTGGAGGGGTTCAGTGCTCTTGAAGTGTGTTACAGTTTGTCTCAGGTGTTCCTTAGCTTTCCTGCGGGAAATGGAAGCTTAACTTATGGGGAAAAGAAAGGGGCCTCGTTCATTATGCAGGGTTCCTTATGACAGCGTTTCGACTGCCAGTCAGTCACACGTCTGCCCGCGAGAGGCGCACCCCCCTTGCCAGGCGCGGTGTGCGACCTCGCCCTCAGTGCAAGAGAAGAGGCGACGCTGCTCGACGAAGCGGCGCAAGGAGTCGTCGACCGCACACGCGGGGGTTCACGAGTGGCCCGAGCCTCCCGACGTTCGGGCGCGTGGTAATGGGGGGGGGTGACCTACAAGGGTGGGGAGAAGAAAAGGGCCCCGAATGGGCCCTTCGGGGCTCCATTTTGAGCCCCTGCTGGCTCCCAAAGGGGCCTTGAAGGGCCCCTGTGTAAGGCCCTTCTCTTCATCCCCCAGTCAGGCCCCCCCCCATGAGCACCCTCGGCGGCGAGCGAGGGGGGGAAGTGAGAAGGGGCGGCTCCTTCTTAGACGGCTCAGAAGTTCCTGCCTCCGGAGAAGTTCTCGAAGCCTCCCCAGTGAGGGCTTCTGAGAAGTTTTTTCTCAGCCTTCCCCGAAGGCAGAAAAAAAACTTCTCAGAAGGCGTGAGGGCCTCTGAGAAGCCCCGCCGCCTTCCGAGAAGGCTTTCTCCTTCTCGCTTCCCCCCCCCCCCGCTCGCCCCCATGACACCCCGCCCGAGACTGTGCCCTCAGCACCCGCCACCCGTCGTGTGTTCACTCCCCTGCCCCCGCGAACTGGCACACATTCGGGAGCTCGAGCCAGGCCTGACGCCACGGTCTCCCCCGAGAGACTGGGGCGTTAAGTCGGGCCTGTCCCTCTGCAAGAGGGTCAAGCGTAGCTATGAAAAATAGCCTGGGGACCATGTTTTGAGCATCTTTGGAGGATTTGTTGAGCATGTTGTTGGGTATTTTGTATTTTTCGTCAAAAATCCCCCTGTAGGGGGACAGGCCCGACCTAAGACTGGGGGGACGCGACCACCTCCTGCAGCGGAGGCGGAACGCTGCCCACGGCGCGGCTGGCCAAGCGACCACGCGCCAGCCTGGACGAATCTTCGGCGCCGCGTCCGTCGCCGTCGTGCCCCGCGTCGTCCGAAGGAGCAGCATCGGCCTCCGCGTCCGTGCGGGACGTGCCGGCAGAGGCCTCGCAGTTCGAGGGGCCGAGAAGCTCATGCATAAAAAAGAAATAAAACTGCTGGTCAATCTCTGCCGCGTGTCGCCACGGAGTGCACTGGTGACTCGAGAGCTGTTGCGATCGTCCCCTCTTGCTTGCCCCTCCTTCTTCTCCCGAAAAAAACTCGTGTATCTATTCCTCGGCGGCGGGGGCGGCCTCGCCAGCGGAAAAGCTTGGAGGACGACGGCGGCAGCAGCAGCGAGGCGCCGCCGCGCCCTTGGGCCCGGCGTTCTTCGGGCAGCCCCCGCCGCGCCAGCTCGAGCGTTCGTTGCTCGGGGCCCCCGCGGAGCGCTCCCTGGCGTGGTCGCCTCCCCGGCCGCCGCTCTGCACCTCCGCAGCAGCCCGGCGCGCGCCGATGCCGATGCCGTGGCCTTATGTCGGGCGTGTCCCCCTACAGGGAGATTTTCGACGAAAAATAAAAGAAACCCCAAAAATACCCTGAAAAAGGCCAAGAAATACTCAAAAAATAGTCCCCTGACTATTTTTGCACTATGTTTGGGGTATTTTTTGTTTTTCGTCGACAATCCCACTGTAGGGGGACACGCCCGACTTAACCGTTGCCGAGGTTCGAACCCTCCCAGGCGGGCTCCGAGCAGACGGGGTCGAAAGGTCGCGCCGCACCGCCGACGCCTCGGGGCGACGCGGCTCGACGTGGCGGGCCCGCGTGCCACCCGCGCCGACGTCGCCGCTGGCATCGGCGAGGCGTCGCCGATGCCTCGCCGATGCAGCGGTGGATGCCTCGGCGACGCGGCGCGATCTGCCGACCCCGGCGACCTCGAGGCCCTTCTGCGAGGCCTCCAGAGGTGCCTCCTGGCGCTGTGGCTCCTCCAGGCGGGCGGGCCCGCGGCAGGGGCCCCGGGCCCCGCGGGGCTGCGCGCGCAGGTGGCGGAGCTGCGCGAGGAGCTGCGCGGGCAGCTGCGCGCGGAGCTGCGCGCGGAGCTGCGCGCGGAGCGGCGCCTGGCGGAGGAGCGGCTGGCAAGCGCCCAGGGCCGGCGCTTGAGCGCTACGGAGAGCGCGATGTCGAGCTCGTGGCTGGTCCTGTGCGGCGCGCTGGTGGTGTTCATGCACGCGGGCTTCGCGATGCTCGAGGCCGGGAGCTGCAGGGCGAAGAACGCGTCGAACGTGCTGATGAAGAACCTCGTGAACGTGTGCGTGGGCACGCTGGGGTGGTTTTGGTTCGGATGGGCCATTGCCTATGGCCTTCCGTCCGATCCTGACACCACACCAGGCTTCATGGGCACCGACGGCTGGGCCGCCAGCAGCTTCAACGACTTCGACTCCGACGGGAACATCACACCCACGGGCGCCACTCTCAACTGGTTCTTTCAGTGGGCCTTCTGCACGGCCGCCGCGACCATCGTCAGCGGCGCGGTCGCCGAGCGCGTGCTGAGCCCCACGTACGCGGTCTTCGCCTTCGTGATGTCCGCATTCATTTACCCTGTGGTCGTCGCATGGACTTGGGGCTACGGGTGGATCAGCACCCTGTTCGACGTGGGGGTCATCGACTTCGCGGGCAGCGGCATCGTGCACCTCACTGGCGGCGTCAGTGGGCTCGCGGGCACCATCGTGCTGGGGCCACGCAAGGGCCGCTTCAAGCGGCCCGCGGAGTTCGACGCGCACAGTTTGCCACTCGTCGTGCTGGGCACCTTCATCCTATGGTTCGGCTGGTATGGCTTCAACTGCGGATCCACCCTCGAGATGAATATGGAGGCAGGCCTGCTGGCTGCACAGGTGGCCATGAACACGACGATCTCTGCCGCGACTGGCGGTATCTCAGTCTTCTTCTTCTTGCGCTATCTGATGACGAAGAAGTACGACGTTGGCAGCTTGTGCAATGGCATCCTGGCCGGCCTCGTGTCCATAACGGCTCCATGCGGCAATGTGGAGGCTGGCAGCGCGTTTGCGATTGGGCTCATCGGCGCTCACGTGTACCAGGGTTCATCCATGCTTCTCCAGAAGCTCGAGATCGACGACCCAGTAGACGCTGTCCCAGTTCACGGCTTTGCGGCGTTTGGGGCGTGCTCGCCGCGGTGCTCTTCGATTGGGGCCGTGGATTCGAGCATTTCCACGGTTGGAGCGGCTTCGATTGCATGACTGTGGACGCGGCTGGCAACATTGGCGATCCTTGCTTGGGCAATTTGGTCGGCAAGGCACTCGGTGCCCACATCCTCATGATCATCTTCATCGTCGCATGGTCTGGCACCCTCTCTGGCATCACCTTCTTCGCGCTCAAGATGACCGGCGCTTTACGCATCGACGAGAAGACGGAGGATATCGGACTGGATTTCGCCAAGCACTCCCCGAAGAGGGCGTACTCCGTTGAAGCACTCCCCGAAGAGGGCGTACTCTCTTGAAGGGTAGGCCTCGGGTGTTCCTGCGGAGAGGACGTTGTGGATCCCTACTTTACGGCCCCCCGCTCAGTTCCAAACGAACCTGCACCATGCCATTGTGCTTTTATGCATTGCATAAATATAGGTTGGGCCGCAAGGGATCTCCGCACAGCGCCTTGGCCCCTTCTCCTCCTTCCCCTCCCTCGTTCCTCCAAACTGTCGCTCTGCTCCCCTTTGTTCCTCTTCCGTGAGCTTGTGGGCAGTGCCACGCATGCAGGGATGGGGCCACACATGTTCCACTGTATTGTCCTCTCCTCGAGCTGACAGACGGCACCGCGGACCGTCAGCCAGCTGACAGGTGCAGCGGGCTCGAAGGTATAGTGGCTTGCGGTGTGCAGATTCGCCTTCGTCCACGACTGTTGAGATTCTGCCACAGGTTCCCGAACCTGTCCTTACCAACTCTTCCTTCCCTCCTCTCTCGTCGCTCCTCCCCTCCATCTCCCTCTCCGCTTGACCATCACTGCTTTCCTCATCTGCCATTTGTGTCTGGTCGAGTAACAAGTGTCAGAGAAGGAGAGGGGGGAAGAGTGGAGCCCGGAAACAATGATCCTGATGAGTACTACCGGGTCGCTCTGCAGTTTACCGGGAGTTTCTGTACATAGAAGCGGGGGCGCGCGCTTGATTCGCAAGATTCGCCAGAAACGGTGTCAGGAGGCACTCTTGGCCCCTCCCTTGGGGCCGATGTTTGAAGGATGTCGCACCAGTTTGGGAATCGTCAGCAGGAGCCGCCAGATTTCTCAAAAACGGTGTCAGAAGGCATTCTTGGACCCTCCCCCGGGGCCGTTCTTTTGATGACGTCCCGAGCGAGAGCTCTTGTTGAGGAATACACTGGCGGAGCAGCCTGATGTGCTGGATCCGCTAGGAACGGTGCAGGCAGCGCCGTTGTTGGCCGCGCTTCTTCGCAGGCCGGGGGTCAGGACGACGTGAGTTCTACAGCAATTCCTGAACATGAAAATTGTGGAGAGAAGAGGAGGAGGAGGAGGAGGGAGAGGAGGAAAGAGCCGAATAGGACTACGAGATAAAGCGTAGGCATCGGATGAGCACAAGGCAATTGCCTCTCTGACTAGAACCTAAATGCGCGCGAAGCGCGCGCGTGGTTCTAGCTTTTTCGAGTGACTCATGGAGGTCAGCTGCATGTGGAGAGGTTGCGTAAAAAACCCGACAGTGCGAGACGGAGTCCCGCGTCGGTACGTTTAAGAATTCAGAGTAGGCTCGCCATTGCACAATTGTTCTGCCGACTACGGTCGGCAAAGTGTGTCGTTGCTCCTGCTCACGCGGAAAGGCCACCGCACAGTTTTTAGTGTGTGGCCCCCCGCTTGTCATCCGGGATGGAGTCCCCATTCAACCACAGGAGCACCTCAGCATTGTGGTCACGCGTCGGTATGTTTTAGAATTCGGAGTTAACTCACCCTTACACGGTTGTTCTGCCGACTACGGTCGGCAAAGGGAGTCGTTCCTCCTGCCCCCGCGGAAAGGCCGTGGCACAATTCGTTGTGTGCGGTCCCCGCTTGTAGTCTACAGTATGATATACAGTCCCGTTCCAGCCACATGAGCACCCCGACAGTGTGGAACGGAGTCCCGCGTCGCTCCTTACATGAATTCGGAGAAGACTCCCCCGCTCATAGAATTACGGAGGGGTGGTTGCTCTGTCGATTACCACCCGCAAAGCGTATATTCGCGAGCTTGTCAGTCTTATGTATTCTTCACATGTGTCATCTCTTCTTGCTCGAGCCGACAGTGGGCGACGCGGACGGTCAGCGTTCTGACAGTCCACAGACGCTGCACGCGGGTTCGCAGGAGCAAGCAATCAAAGGGTATGTTGATCATTCTGCCACCCCAGGAAAATACGCAGATTCGAAAATACACATGTCCATATCGGCACATACCCATCTGCCAATACCCCATACCCTCATATCCATCTGCCACACCTCCATCATCCCTACCCCTTCCTGCTCTTCCATCTCTGTCCCCCCTCCCTGCTTCTCTTCCGTCCCTCTCCCCGCCTCCCCCCGCTCCTTCCAACCACGTCCCCCCATGCTTTCAGAGTTCGCCTGTCGCACGCGATGATCGAGCTGAAGTGACGTTCGATGTCCTGAGTGCGACCCAGGGAGCCCGCACTCAGCCGCCATAGGGCCATAGGCTGCAGCGCTCAGGACTGAGGAAACAGCGCTTCCTGCTGCCGCGTGGAGGGGGGGTACTCGCTGGGGCCAACTGTGGCCTCCTGGGGCTCCCTGAAGCTTGCTGAGGCCTCCTGGGGCTCCCAAGGCTCCCTGAGGCCCCGTAGGGCTCCCTGGGGCGTCCCAGGGCTTCCTGAGGCTCTCTTGGGCTCCTCGGGGCTTTCTGGAGCTCCCGGGGGCCTCCAGCGGTGCCCTGGGGCTCCCTGGGCTCCACGGCGCGTCCTGGGCCTCACTGGGACTTCCCGTGGCCTCCCGAGACCCCCTGGGGTTCCGTGTGGCTTCCCGGGGTGTCTTGGGGCTCCTTGCGGCTCCCTGGGGCTTCCTGGGGCCGCCTGGGCCCCTGCCCGCCGTCGTCGTCGGTCGTCGTCTGCCGGCGGCGGGTCGGGGATGGGAGAGGGTTCACCCCCTCTCCTCCTCCATTCCTTTTCCTTCTCCTTGTAGATAACTTCTCCCTGTCGCACCCCGGGGCAAGTTTTTTGGGCGGGCTGGGCGTTTCGTTTGAGACTTCCTCACCATGTATGATTCTGCAGCTGAAACAGTGGCAGCAGCTTCACAGACGGAGGGCGGGTCGCTTTCAAAATGTGGCTCTCGCCTTAGCGCCGCGCACATTCGTTTAAGAATGCGCAAGAGTTTCAGGGATTGAGGGCGGGTGGTTATGAAAATGTGGTTCTCGGCTTAGCGCCGCGCACATTCGTTTCAAACATTTGCAAGAGCTTCACGGATTGAGGGCGGGTCGTTTTCAAAATGTGGCTCTCGCCTTGTTCCCGCGCACATTCGTTTTAGAAATTTGCAAGAGTTTCACGGATTGAGGGCGATTCCTTTTCAAAATGTGGTTCTCGTTTTAGCGCCGCGCACATTCGTTTTAAACATGTGCAAGAGTTTCGCGGTGCCCATGATCAACGTACCAGAAACGGTGTTTTGGAAGGATTCCGGATTATGCGTGCGCAACAGTTATGTTGATGTGCGGTGTCGAAGTCCCAAAAATGGCGATCTGCCACGATTCTGGATCGTCAAGACGCAGCAGTCAGGTTGATATTTGGCGTAGAAATCCCGAGACCAATGCTTTGGCACGCTTCAGGGTCTTCAAACAGTTGTTTTCCAACGAGGCAGCGGCAGTTCTTTCAATGGGCATGAACAGTTGTAGGGGCCTACGAAGAGGGAGCTTGGAGGGAGGGTTCATTCCAATATCGTTGATGACGCTTGGGTTTACACTGGTCCTCCTGCTCCTCCTCCTCCTCCTCTTCCTCCCTGCTCCTCCTCCTCCTCCTCTTCCTCCTCTTCCTCCTCCTCCTCCTCCTCCTCCTCCTCCTCCTCCTCCTCCTCCTCCTCCTCCTCCAAGGGGGGAGGGGCGAGGGAGCGCTCCCGGTCCCGACGTCGCGGGACGTTCTCTCCCGAGGCAGGCGCCCGTGAAGCGCGTTTTCTCCCTCGGGCCGAGGCACGGCATGGGAAGGGGGGCGTGGTGGTGGGCCCCAGCGGGGCCTAGAGTTTCAGGCGACCGCAAGCATGGACTACGCGGGCGTGGGTTAACGAGGGGTCCCGTTTCCATGGGAAATCGCGGATCTCCGCCGCCGAACGCGGCGGCGCCGGCCGCATGGTGGGGAGGGCACCTCCCCCGATCCATGGATTTGGCGACCGCGCGCCAAATCCATGTATCGCTAATCCGTGCTTGCGCGCCCCCGAGAGTTCAGTCGGGCATGTCCCTCTTCAGGAGGAATATTCAAAAATAGTCTAAAAAGTACTCTGGAGACGAGTTTTCTGGTATTTTTGACTATTTTCGAACAGTTGTTACTATCTTCATCTGTCCTCGAAAAATCACCTGTGGGAGGACATGCCAGACCTAAGCCTAGAGTTGTTCGCGAACATCAAAGCATGCGGCCACTGGGGCGGCAATCAAGATCCCGAGCATTGCAAGATGTGTTACCCGTGTGGCTCCCAGATCCAGCTCTTCACGACCTCCGCTCCTCCCACGTGGGGTTCCCGTCGCAGCGATCGGAACACCAAAAACAACCCGTTTGGCAGTGTGGCTTCCGGAGGTGGGGGAAGGGCAACGGCGGTCCCGACACGTTCGGGTGGGGTGCCGACGGCCGTGGGAAGGACCGAGGAGGGGAAGGGCCGAGGAGATCGAGATGTCCCCTCCCCACACGACATCCTCCACCATCTAGTCAACACGTCGAGGGGTGGAGTGAACGAACTCGACGAGGCCATCAATGCCCTTCTCTCCCAGGCCTGGTCAGCCCATCAGGCCCACGATGCGGCCAAGGCTTCGGCACCCACCATCCTCCAGAAGCTCAAGAAGGAGGTCAAGAAGCATGCGAGAGGGGGTGGCGGACAAATGCGAAGCCAGACTGTGGAGGCAGAGGATGTTTCCCAGCAGTATCTCTGGAGTGGCGCAGCGACCTGGGGAAGCAGCTGGCCAGTGCACAACTTTCAGGAGGGGAAATTATCCTGGCGAAGGACCCAACCAGATGCAGTTGCGAGTACCGCAATTGTGAGTATCTTCTTCGATGGCGCTCCCTATGGGGCCACGAACCGTATGAGGGGTGTGCCGAGATCTGTGCGGTGGGCGCATGGGAGCGCAGCCACTGGGGCCTTCGCTGGAGCTCCCTATGGGGCCACGAAACGTGTGAGGGGTGTGCCGAAATGGGTGCGGTGGGCGCATGGGAGCGCAGCCACTGGGGCCTTCGCTGGAGCTCCCCATGGGACCACGAAACGTGTGATGGGTGTGCCGAAATGGGTGCGGTGGGCGCATGGGAGCGCAGCCACTGGGGCCTTCGCTGGAGCTCCCTATGGGGCCACGAAACGTGTGAGGGGTGTGCAGAAATGGGTGCGGTGGGCGCATGGGAGCGCAGCCACTGGGGCCTTCGGTGGAGCTCCCTATGGGGCCACGAAACGTGTGAGGGGTGTGCCGAAATCTGTGCGGTGGGCGCATGGGAGCGCAGCCACTGGGGCCTTCGCTGGAGCTCCCTATGGGGCCACGAAACGTGTGAGGGGTGTGCCGAAATGGGTGTGGGCGCAGCCACTGGGGCCTTCGGTGGAGCTCCCTATGGGGCCACGAAACGTGGGAGGGGTGTGCCGGTGGGCGCATATGGAGTGGGGCCACGAAACGTGCGCATGGGGGTCGAAACTATGGGTGCGGTGGGGGCGAAATGGGAGCGCAGCCACTGGGGCCTTCGCTGGTATGGGGCCACGAAACGTGTGAGGGGTGTGCAGAAATGGGTGCGGTGGGCGCATGGGAGCGCAGCCACTGGGGCCTTCGGTGGAGCTCCCTATGGGGCCACGAAACGTGTGAGGGGTGTGCCGAAATCTGTGCGGCGGGCGCATGGGAGCGCAGCCACTGGGGCCTTCGCTGGAGCTCCCTATGGGGCCACGAAACGTATGAGGGGTGTGCCGAAATGGGTGCGGTGGGCGCATGGGAGCGCAGCCACTGGGGCCTTCGGTGGAGCTCCCTATGGGGCCACGAAACGTGTGAGGGGTGTGCCGAAATGGGTGCGGTGGCCGCATGGGAGCGCAGCCACTGGGGCCTTCGGTGGAGCTCCCTATGGGGCCACGAAACGTGTGAGGGTGTGCCGAAATCTGTGCGGTGGGCGCATGGGAGCGCAGCCACTGGGGCCTTCGCTGGAGCTCCCTATGATCGTCATGATGGATGATGATGATGATGATGATGATGATGATGATGATGATGATGATGATGATGATGATGATGATGATGATGATGATGATGATGATGATGATGATGATGATGATGATGATGATGATGATGATGATGATGATGATGATGATGATGATGATGATGATGATGATGATGATGATGATGATGATGGCAGGAGGGAGGGGGCAGCAGGAGGAGGAGTGAACGCGGGGCGCTGTCTCTTCAAAACGAGGACCCAACACCACAGGATGGTTGGGAAAAAAAACACAGACGCAATGAATCATCCCCTCCCAGGAGAATATGGGAAAATATGGGGAAGTGGGGAGAAGACAAAAACTTAGAAAAGATTGGAAATATATAGGGGAATTCCTTTATTTGTGTGTATTTATTTGTGTGTCCCAGGGCCCCATCAAACTCCAGCTCTAGGAGGCTCGGAACAGAGCCACGGCCAGGCGCCGCGAAAGTGCCTCTGCCCAGGAGTCCCAGCCTCGGTCGTCAGCCAGCTTCCCGCTTGGAGATGCTTAATTCAGGAGGGAAAAAAACACACAGACACAGTTAATCGTCGATTCCCTAGAAAATATTGGAAAAGATGGGAAGTGGGGGGGAAGACAAAAACCTAGAAAATATGGGAAACCATGGGGAATCTTGTTATTTGTGGGGTGTATATTGATTTGTGTGTTCCAGGGCCTCTTCATACATGGATGTGATCCGACGTGCACGTGTGGAATGCAGTTACAGACCGTACGCTCGGAGACCAGATTGAGAATATGTATTTCATTTTTCTCAGCGTCATGCATATCCCCGTGTGGCCCCACCGACTCCGGCTCCCACCACGACAGGGCCTCAAAGCGGGAGGGGAGGCGTTCGTTGTATGTGGCTGACCTCTCGGAGCCAACCACAGCGGAGACACCCAGGGGGACTCACACTCATTTGTCCTAGCTGTGGCTTCTGGCGCGCCTTGTCCTTGGACGCTCAGTCCAGGCCTGCGTGCCCAAAGTGACCTGCTGGGCGACAAGCTCCGTCCAGCGAAGAGCATCCGCGACAAGGAGGGCATGGCTGCTGCCCGCTGCAGGACGGGGCCTTATCGAGGAGAATCTGGGCAATGAGAGGGGCGAGAGGGCAGCTTGTCGCCCCGCAGACGACTGCGGCAAGGCATGCGCCGAGGCGATCATCACTGCGGAACGAGGGGCTGAACCTCCCCAGGTCCGCGACGCCAGGCGACGCCGAGTCGCCGCGCGATAGAGACTGGGCTTCCTGATGCACCCCCGAGCGAGAGAATCTGCGGCGCGATGACGACAAGGGGCTGACTGGGATGCCCAGGTTTGCGCCGCCCATTGTTGCACTGGAGATCGAGACGACAGCCGATGGTGGCCCCGTCGCCATCAAGGTGGTCTTTGCCTGGGCGACGGGCGTGTTGACTTGCAGTCCTCAGCTGCTTTAGGCATTGACCTGGTCGTCGCTACCATGGCGCTGCGGTCCCACAAGGAGCGCTGGGATGCGAGATCATGCATGCTCGCTCAGCACGGTTCCTGGGTAGACGTGCGGGACGCGGATGCGGGTATGAATTTGGATATTCAAGGGGATGTGTGTGCAAGTTGGGTCTGAGGTTGGTATGTACGTAGACACACGCATGAACATTGATTCAGACGCAGATTCAACTTTGTCGGTTACGGAAACGCAGACACAGACCAAAAGTTAGACACAGGCGCAGACATAGACGTTGGCGTCGAGGACACACACGTAGACATGTTTGTTGGCATTGAAGTTGATGGTGACTCTGATGTTAATTTAGAGCATGCGGCAGAGGTAGGTGTAGATGCGTAGGTAGAGGAGCACGACCGTGTACATGTGCAGGCCGATGTCGATAGGACGACGATGTTGATGGGTGTGTGGATGGTTGACCAGCCTTCGCAACCAGGTCTGCACATGGCAGCTCTGAAGCACAAGCTGGACATTGCCACTCTCCTGGTCGAGAAAGGGCACGACGTGAACATCGAGGATCGAGCAAATTCCTTGATTTGCTCTGTGACCACTGCTGCTGTGCTCACTCGTCCTCCTTTCTCGTCCGACATTTCATCGCATGAACGCCTCCTCGCTATGAAGCCAAGGGGTCCTGCGTGCAGCGGGTCCCGAGACTTCTCTCCGTGGTCGAGCTCTCGGGGCTTTCCACGGGCCCAGGGACTGTCGAAAACGGCTCGGGATAAAAATCTGGCCTTGGGGGGGAGGCCCCGGGGTTCCAAGACCCGCTTCCTGCAGGACTTGTTCTCTCCGTCTTGTCTTCTCACCATACACTCTTCTCCGTCGTAGCTGGCGTGTTCTCCATGCCGTTCTGGAGCAGTGCCCAGGGATGGTCGAAGACGACTCTGGATGAAAATCTGGCCTTGGGGGGAGGCCCCGGGGCCCAAGACCCGCTTCCTGCAAGAATCGGTTCTCCTTCTTGCTTTCTCACCATACTCTCTCTGTCGTGGCTGGCGTGTTTCTCCATGCCGTTCTGGAGAGCGGTCGGACCAGTCAGGCCAAAATCGGCTCAGAACGACGGTGCTGCGAAACGCGCACGGTGGGAAAACGGGGCCAGTGCGGTGCAGCCGGCGTTAAAATTGTCAAAGCAGTGTTTCGCCCAGTCCGGCGTCTCCTTCAGTAAAATCAGTTGTAGTCTAGGCTCCGCTACAGGCAGCAGATCAGGGTACTCAAACTTGAATACCCAGTTGGCCTTGTTTTGCTGAGAAAGTCAGGTCGTAAGTAACATGTTGCAGTTGCGCAGGAGACAAGGAAAAAAACGAAAAAACAAAAAACAAAAACAAAAAAAAACGCGCACGGTGGGAACAAAATAGCACGCAAATACTATTACAGCACGTCCGTGCGAGGGTAGATGTGTGCGCACACTCCTCCACGCCAAAAGCCCTTGCTTCAATTCGAGTAAATTCAGTTGGCCTCTCTGCGGCCGCCCGGAGGGCCTTTTGGAGCCACACTGGGCCAGAATTGGAGCCTCTTGAGCCGCCTTGAGGTGGTCTTGGACAGTCTTGGGCCGTCTTGGGGTCACTTTGGGCTGCCTCGGGGACATCCTGGGGCCATGTTCACCTCTCTTGGAGGCCATGTTGGGGCATCTTGGCGATTTTGGAGGCGGATGGTGTTGATTGTGTGGTTCGCTTGGGTCGGCTCAGATGGCCCGGACCCCATTGAGATGTTTTGTTGGGCGGGCTTGAAAGTGTTCCAACACCTGGCATGCCAAGCAACCGTTCCCAAGAGAAAGATGGCTGCGGATACATAGTGGCCTTCGGCCCAGCCCGCCTCCTTGCCTGGGTTGTAGGCCAGAGGCTTCTTGGAAGCCCGTCGGGGTATCGTGGGAGACTTCTTGGGGCTTCGGAGGCTGCCTTGGGTTGATGCGAGGCCGCGATGTGGCGGAGCAGGAGGACGAAGAACACGGTGATAATGATGAGCAGGAGAAAGGAGAGGAGGTGGAGAAAGGGAGGAGAGGCGGAGAAGGTTTGAGAGATCTCTCGGCACCTCCTTGGAGGCCTCTTGGGGGCTTGTAGGAGGCTTTTGGGGGTCCTCTTGGGGGTCTCTGGGGGCCTCTTTGGCGCTCTGGGGCCTCCTTAGGGCTCATTTGTCCCTCTTAGGGCGCGCTTGGGCGCCTGGTGCTTTCGGACTTGGAGGCCTTCCTGGGCAGCATTAGGCTCAATAGGGCAGCCTTGCGAGCCTCATGGGCCGTCCTGAGACTTCCTGGGCCATCTTGGGATCCTGTTGGGCGGTCTTGAAGTCCTCCTGGGGGGAGTCTTAGGCAGTCTTGGTCCATATTGGAGGGCTCTTGGGCCGTCTTGGGCTGACTGGCGAAAGCCCGAAATGGTGAGAACGCGAAAATAGCTCAGCAACCACCAGAAAATCAATGATGCTGGCATGGTCTGGTCTTGTCAGGGGTCGTATGGGAGCCTTCTTGGGCCGTCCTGGGGGCCTCTTGGTCGGAGGAGAAGAAACGCCATAAACGCAAACGTTGGCGCTCCGCGCGGATTTCTTGGATCCGCGCTGGGCCCCGCCGGCGCCACCCCGCAGGGAGGAGGGTCCAGCGCAGATCCAAGAAATCCGCGCGGAGCGCCAAATGCCTATGTTTATGGCGTTGAATTTGTTGTCTACGTCTTTGGGAGCGTTTCTCCATGGCGTTTTATGGCGTTTTATGCTGATGGTCCGTTATGGCCTATGGCATTGTATGGTGCTGTTCCGCGTTCTACAACTTAATGGTTATGTTTCTAGCGTGATTTGCTATGCTTATGGGCGTTTCCGGGGCCGTCTTGAGGCCATCTTGCGCCGTCTCGGGGGCGATCTCGGGCTGCCTCGGAGGCAGCATTGGGCCCGCTTGGCGGCCGTGGCGGCCTGCCTCGGCCGGCTGGAAGGGCCGCCTCGGGGCATCCCGGGCGCGTCGGAGAGCGCCATGGCAGCGTCGGAGCGCCAAGGGAGCCTCCAGAGGAGGAGGAGGAGGAGGCGGAGGAGGAGGAGGAGGAGATGGAGGACCAGGAGGAGGAGGAGGAGGAGGAGGAGGAGGAAGAGGCGGAGGAGGAGGAACAGGAGGAGGGGGCACGGTAGCGGAGCAGCGTTTTCGTTCTCGCACCCATGTATTCCACACTACCCGTTGGAACGGTTGTCTTCGCTTCAGCGACTGTCACGCTTCTTGCTCAGAACGGTACTGATTCTGTCGGCGTTGGCCCCAGCCACAGACTTGAAGCGTGGTCCAATATCAGCGCCAGCCGCACTCCCAGCTTGGAGTGGCGCTGCCGCTTCAGTTCGGACAACTTTACAGCTCCGAGATGCGACACTATACATCTTCAAGTGTAAGTGTATAGACTTGTACAAACAACAGCGATCTCGTGCCATCGATGCGGTGCTGTCTAGGTGGTGCAATCTAGGTGGTGCGAACCATGTTGCACCATCTATGCACAGCGCAAAGCAGCTCAGAGCAATACCGAAGCAATTTGAAGCAAAGCGAAGCGGGCGACGAGGCGGCTGGCGGCGACGAGGCGGCGACGACGGCAGCCGCATGGCGGCCGGAGCGGCCCACAGGCCCAGGCGACGAGCAGCGACGGGCGGCGACGGGGCGACGACGGCGGCCACATGGCGGCCAGAGCGGCCCGCGGGCGCAGGCGACGGGCGGCGACGAGGCGGCCACACGGCGGCCAGAGCGGCCCGCAGCCCCAGCTCCGCAGAAAAGAGGTAAGAGCCCCATAGGTGCAAGCACTGCCTGGGGAAAACGTAGACACATGTACGCATGCGAAGCGATTGTGCATACATGCGTGTGACTGCAAATACCGATCGGGGGAAGAGAAAGAGAGAGAGAGAGAGGAGGAGGAGGAGGAGGAGGAGGAGGAGGAGGAGGAGGAGGAGGAGGAGGAGGAGGAGGAGGAGGGGCGGAATAGAGAGAGAGGGGGGGGCAAGAGAGAGAAGGGGGAGAGATAGAGAGGGATGGCGATAGCTAAAGCTAGAGACGTATATATCATGTGAAGACGTCACGGTAGAAGTGCTCCACGCAGCGTTTGATACAGTCAGCTTCGGCGCAGTCACCTTACAGCCACATGTGGCGCAGTCGAGTCTGGTAAAACCTGACCCCCAATCACATTTGGCCCCGTTCCCTCATCTACATGTGTATGCACGCTTCCCTGCACATCGGATACCATGTAGGTCTGTATCCAAGGAGATATGTAATTGAGTGTTGTGATGTGGCGAAATACTTGTCCAACGTGCAGGCGTTCCAAATGGCGGCAAGTCCGAAGAGAACCATTGCACAGGCGAGGTATACGAAACACGTCCCAGCCTCCTCATCAGTTCGAGCTCATGCTCTTCTCGCTGGTCCTCCTCGTTCTTTCGGCCATCCCCTTCCCTCAAGCCTGGCGAGCATCGCGACGCCTCTGTGTTCCCATCCCGCTCTCCTCCCTCCTCCCTCCTCCCGCGCTCCGTCCACCTGTTCCGACGTCGTCGTTGCTGTCCTGCTGCTCCAGGACAGAGCGAGCGGCCATCTCTGTCGAGCATGGCACGGTGCGAGGCGCCTCGCAGAAGGTCTGGGGTTGTCCCATGGGCCGTGCAAGATCGTACTCTTGCGCCGTTTTGCCTGAGAGTGAACGTCCATGGCCGCGAGAACAGTTGCGACACAGAACAGCCCACGACGATGACGCCGAGAGCCAGGAGGCTCTGATGGAAGCCATCTTTCAGAATGCTCCTCGCTCGTACATGTTGACCTGAGAGATGCGTGCGTGCTCGTGCCTGCGTGTCTGGGCTATCGCCGCCCCCCAAAGCCCCCCCCCAAACCACACTCCGTGGCCACATCGCCCCGGTTGAAGATCATCATCCCCCACTCTGGCCCGCACGCTTCCAGGGCGCCTCCGAGACTTCGGCGGCCTCTAGCCACGGCATTGGAGGGACGATTGCGCTGGATAACAGACATTCCTTAGCTATTTGGGCCCAAGTTTTCTCGGCCACATCTTCGCCCCGGCTGCTCTCCCGGCACCCACCAAACAGACCATGGCCCTCCGCTCCAGCGTGCTCCCGACGGCCGTCGTGGCTGCCCTGTGCCTCCTGGCGCTGCGCGGCCTGCTCGCCCCGAGCCCGAGCCGGGCCTTCGCTGCGCCAGAGGTCGGCCTCACGCAGTCGATCCACCGGCAGTGCAGGCCCGTGGTGGGCGGCGACCGCGCCCTCGCCTCCGGCGCTGCCCCGGCCGTCCTGAGCACCGTTCCGGCGCGCCGGGGCGTCGCCGCGCACTTCAAGGTGACGCTGGAGACGCCAGACGGCACCCAGGAGTTCGAGTGCCCAGAGGACGTGTACATCCTCGACCAGGCCGAGGAGGAGGGCCTCGAGCTGCCCTACTCCTGCCGCGCGGGCTCGTGCTCGAGCTGTGCGGGCAAGGTGCTGTCCGGCGAGATCGACCAGTCGGACCAGGCCTTCCTGGACGAGGACCAGACGGGGGAAGGCTTCTGCCTCACGTGCGTGACGTACGCGACCTCGGACGTGACCATCAAGACCCACTGCGAGGACGACCTGTGAGATGCTGAGGGCGCGGCCAGAGCAAAGCAGGGGCAGTGGCAGTGGTGCCGATTTGTTCTTCTGCCTCCGTCGATTCAGTATCGGGCGAGCCTCATGCTTTTATAATTTTCAGGACATTTGACATGCGCTCACGGGCGCGTATAGTCCAAGCGTGCGTCGACAGTTGCGGAGTGGCATGGTGGTCCGCGCAGGACATCGTCGGTCATAGAAAAAACAAGAACAAAAGGCAAGCAATACATATATTAATTTGTGTATGTATATGTGTATGTCGATGTATATGTGTTTGTAGATGTATATGTATATGTATTTGTAAATGTATATGCACATGTATATGTATATACACTAGTTCTATGTTCACACAAAATGTTCCGCATGGCTGCCCTTGTCGCTGCCCCGCGGTCAGGAGTGCAACGGCCTTACGCCTCTGGACTACTGCGTCGACAGCGCACTGACGGACGGCATATTCACCGACAAGAACGGCAGCCAGGCCCGTGCTCGCGGTGCGACCCTCCCGCGACACCCCTCCGCTCGTGGTCCCGCACCGCCCCGTCCGCCTGTCTTCCTCCTCATCCTTTTCGCGCTGCGCAAAGAAAAAAGGCTCATAGCAATTCCATCTTCTGGGGGGGCCCCTACCGGGGCCCCAGGACCGTCCGAAACGGCCCAGGATCGAACAGAGAGCGGTCCCAGAAAATCGAAGAAGGAAAAACGGCATGAACATACATGTTCGACGGTCCGCACGGTTTGGGGGGATCTGCGTTGGGCCCCATCCCTGGCCCGCGGAACACTCCTGGGGCGGCGCCGGAGGCGCCCCCAGCGGGGGTCCAGCGCAGATCCAAGATCCAGGAAATCCGCGCGGACCATCGAAAATATATGCTTATGCAGCGTTCCTTCCATTATCGGGGAAACGTAAGACTCGAGTAAGCCGGAACTTTGGTTTGCCGACTCTTTTTGACGAGCGCGTCCTAAATTCTGACGGTCCGGTTTTCGTGGGATGTTTGCAGAGGGAGCTCGCGTTAAATTTCATAGTGCGTCTCGTCATTTTCATGATGGGCCCTTCAGGCCAACCCAGGTCCCCCGAACCCCGAGTCTTACAGTCGGGGCGCTGGAGGGGCTCCGTGTTCCTTAATTGTTTCGCAGTTTGCCTCAGGTTTTCCTGAGGTTTTCGATGTAACTTATGAAAAAGGGGGCCTCGTTCCTTCTTCAGCCGCACCTGCGGGGCCACCTTGGGGGCCTCCTGGGCCGTCGTGGGCCCTTCTCGGGCCGTCCTGGAGCTCTCCTGGCGGCCTCCTGCCGTCGTGGACACTGAACGCCTGAGAGGCGAATCTGCTGAACATGTACGCCTCCCCGAGCCTTACGCTTCTGTCGGGCCTGTCCCCCTACAGTGGGATTTTCGACGAAAAGAAAGATACCCCAAAAATAATCAAAAAAATAATCTAAAAAATAGTCTGGGGACTATGTTGTTAGTATTTGCTGACCTTTTTGGGGGATTTTGGGAGTATTTTTAATTTTTCGTCGAAAACCCCCTGTAGGGGGACACGCCCGACTTAACCTTACGCCTCCCCGACCCCGAGGGAGGGGGCCCGGACCTCCCGGGAGCCCAGGCTGCGAGGAGCGCTCTCCGCGCTGGCGCCCCCGGGCCCCTCCCGGACCTGCGAGGGGGCCTCTCGGCCTCGGCGCCCCGGCTCCGCCCGCCCCCCGTTGCTGCACCGCTGATCGGCGCGGGATCGGATCGTCGCGGAATCGGTGCGCGATGGGGTCGGCGCGCCATTGTGTCGCAGGCTCGGTGCGTCCAGGACTCCGGGGCATCGGTGCGCCATGGAGTCGGCGCGCTGGTGCGTCGCGGACTCGGTGCGTCGCGGTGCAGGCGCGTCGCGGAGTCGGTGAGCGACGGGCTCGGGCGGCGTGCCTCCACTGAGGGAAGAAGATCCCCGAGCATTATCTGTGGGTGGAGGGCCGAGGGTGACATCTGAGACGCCGTTCCGACTGCTTCTCGAGGTTGAACCTGCAAAAGGTGGGCCGATCTTCAAGGTGCCAAGGCCCATATAGATTTCACCCTGAGCCCTCCACCCGAAGAAGATGCTCAGGTGTAGAATTTGACGCGGGTACTGGGGGGGCAGGCACACTGTGAAGCGGCGGACAGCTCGGAAGCCGACCGAAAAACACATGCACCGCTGGACTCCCTAAACGTCCTCCTTGGGCCCCTGTAGAAAAGCGGCCCGCTCCCGAGGCTGGATGACGCCACTCTCAGTTCCATGTCTCGGGCGCTCCAGGCTCAGGCGCGTGCACGGACGCTCCAGCGTTTCTGCGCGGTCCAGTCGTCGAGCGAGGCCAGAGAAAAAGCATCGTTCTTGTTTCATGGTGCTGCGGTGACGCGTAGACATGGAAATGGGCAGCGAGGGCTGCAGGAAAGACGTGTAGCGGATGGACGCCGCCACGCTCAGTTCTATAGCCTTCGATGATCGAGGCTCAGGCGTGGGTGCACGCTCTGGCATCTCTGAGCGGTCTCCTCGTCGAGCGAGGCTAGCGAACAAAAAAAACGTTTTTCTTATTCCGCGGTGTATCAATCCTCCTCCACCTCCTCTTCGTCGGCCTAGACGTGGCCCTGAACATGCGCACTTGCCTTCTCCGAAGGCTTCCGACGGCGCCAGCCTCGCTACAGCCCCCCGCCCTACCCGCCAACCACGCATGCAAAACACACACACACACACAACAGACACACACACACACACACTACACACACACACAACACACACATACATACACAACACACGCACGCACGCACGTACCCGTCCCACAAGATGGGTGAGGAGAAGGGAAGCGAGGGGTGGAGGGGGGGCACAGGAAATACAGATGTGGACGGGCTGGGAGGGAGGGGAAGGTTGGGGAGGCCGCTCAGACTGCGTATGTGAAGGTGGTCATGCGTTACATGTTCGATGTATGTGTACGCTTGCGGGTGGTAGCATGGACGAATGCCGTAATATCATTGTCAAGTGTGCAACCCAAGTTGATCGTATCTTAAAATGCAGAACGGAGGTCGACTTCGGTGACACTCTGATCTAAAAGTAACTCTTCAAGAGTAGCAACTGCATGGTACCGTAACGCGTCGATGTCCATCCCATCGTGAGTACGTGACGTAGTTTGTGCAGGGTCGGCCACAACGTCCTCGCACAGATTTTGGTGTGCATACCACTCCTGAATCGCATGGTTGAGCGTGGCATCTTGTATACATGTGCACTTTTAATGACGAGGCCGCCACTGGTGTCGTACGTGAGGTGATCAATAAAGAACTCTGCAGCATGCGTTCCATCCGTCTCCGATGTCGAGGAGACCACAGACACGTCTTCAAAGTGCAATCCCGCGGTGCTGCCATCTGCTTCCAAGCTGCCCGCATGCGAATCACTGTGACAAGTGTTTAGAAGCTGTAAACAAGCACCTACAGTGTGATCATTGTCGTCGCCGCTGATGCGAAGCCCTTTTTACCCATACTTACCTATGATAACAACTGCCGATGAGAACAACTGCCGCTGGGAACAACTGCCGATTCAAAGCAGCATGATTCATCCAACCCATGTGGTGTACTTGGCGCGATGTCGTTCACTACATTTGACTTGCCTGAAAATAGCTCACTTGATTTTGGAACCAGCACCTCAAAAGCATCACAACGAGTCCACCAGCCAACATCGAGGCATTGAACATCCCTGTCGACAGTTGTGTCTGATGGGGTAGGGAGCAAGCTATGGAAACGCTGCGCTGTGCCACGAGCGTCACCCATACTATTCTCACGTTCGAGTTGTACGAGACGCGGAGTATATGTCGGCGGCGGTGAAATAATGCCGACGTTGAGGATGAGATCGGGCAGAACAAACACGGTGGAGGGCACAAATTCGTGTGGAATGACTCTCATAGGAAAGTCCTGACATCATTGATGAGATCGCAGCTGCTACGAGCGCGGCGCAGTGGTACTGCATTTCGCATGTTCCAGAAACACATGTAGGGAATGTGTGGTGCGATGTGGTCTTGAATATGTGCGCGTCTGTCGCGCACCCGCCGCCTTGTGATTTGGTGGGAACACAATGCGATCGATCACGTTGAGAATGCTGACGCGTGTGCTGCAAGTGTTCGCCCCCCATATGTGCTCTGAGCTGTGCCGATGATATCCGGTGCACTGCATCTGTCTAGGCCGGCACGATGTCGCGGCAGTGCGTGCGGCGCGGCAGTGCGTGCGGCCGGCAGTGCGTGCGGCGCGGGGCCGGTTCCAAGATCGACCGGTGCGATCCATCGATCAGAGAGTGTGGTCGGTGGATCGCGGTCCGCCCTTAAGACCACCCGAGGGCAGAGCGCTTGGCACGGCCCCAGGCCGAAAGCAGTCGGGCCAGGAGCTTTATCCTCCTGCTCCTCCTCCTCCTCCTCCTGCTGCTCCTGCTGCTGCTGCTCCTCCTCCTCCTCCTCCTCCTCCTCCTCCTCCTCATCATCATCATCATCAGCATCATCAGCATCATCATCATCGTTTTTTGGTGTTCGGCACACGTGGGTCAGCGAGACCGTAGCGTTCGGCCTCCTCCTCCTTCTCCTCCTCCTCCTCCTTGTCATCCTCGTTTTCTGGCCTCCTGGGGGCTACCGTCGTCGCCACGGCTGCACGCAGCTCGAAAAATGAGCCAGGACGAACTCCGGGAGGGGTCCGGGGACCGCTGTTGGGCGGAGATGGGCCCTTGGGGGGGAGGATGCGACAGAGATCTCCCGAAGGTGGTTGGGTCGACCAGCACCTCCATCGTCGTCGTCGTCGTCTCCTCCGCGTCCCTGAGATGCGGCTGAGGCTTCCTCGTGCCCCGACCCAGACATGGCGACGTCTTGATGTGTTCAATACGCGGTCCCCGGGAGTCCCGACCCTTTCCCCGGGGCCAGTTTTCCGTTGCGAGACGTGTTTGACGGTCCTGGGGCCTTGCGAGGGCCCCAGAGGCCGAGAACGACGAAAAGAATGTCCCGCCTGGTGTTTTTCCCAGCGCGAGCATGTCTGGGAAGCCAGCCTCCCCTCCCTCGCTCTTCTTCCTCCCCCCCTTCTCCCTGCACCACTCCTTAGCGGTCCCCCCTGTCATCCCCTTCCTCCATCGCCTCCTCGCCTGCCTGCCCTCCCTCCTCCCCTGTCAGTCCTTCCCCACCTATTCCAAAAGAGAGTCATACGAGGGAGGAGGAGGAGCAGGAGGAGGAGGAGGAGGAGGTGCTCGATCCTCGGCCGTCCACTTCGACGTTATGAGGCCGAAGAGAGCATCTCCCAGTCATCCGCTCAGCCGTGGGGCGGTAGGCGGAGGGACACACTGTGCTCCTCAGCTACGCGGCAGGAGGAGGAGGAGGAGGAGGCGGAGGAGGACGGGGAGGAGGAGGGGGAGGACGGGGAGGAGGAGGGGGAGGAGAAGGAGGAGGAGGAGGAGGAGGCGGAGGAGGAGGAGGAGGAGCATAATGTATCACCGATGATGCAAGACACCCTCCCGTCCCAGGTCCCCCCCGCACAGGTCGCTACAAGAGGTGTCGCTCGCCCCGCGCGAAGCGCCCCCTTGAAGAACGCGGGCCCCGTGGGCGCTCGCAGCTTGTGGGCGGGGGCCTCGTCGTTGAAGAGGGCCGGCCCTCCATCCTGCGCGCTATCAAGAAGGCGACAATCGGGGGAGGGAGGAAGGGAGGGAGGGAGGGAGGGAGGGAGGAGGAGGAGGAGGCGGATGAGGAGGAGGAGGAGGAGGAGGAGGAGGAGGAGGCGGATGAGGAGGAGGAGGAGGAGGAGGAGGAGGAGGCGGATGAGGAGGAGGAGGAGGAGGAGGAGGAGGGCGAGGAGGGCGAGCAAGAGGCGGAGGAGGGCCACAGTAAATCCATGACGTATCAACGACGCTGCAACGCACAGGTGCGGGGGGCAGGATGTTCAAGGACAGACATCCAGCAACCGCCCCGCTTGAGAAGGAGCTTCCCTCCAACGGCACGCCTGGTCCCAAGATTGACCGAGGTCTCGAGCGAGAGCCCAGTGCTGAAAAAAGGCATCGCCCCCTGTCCGCGCACCCGTCGCGCAATTTTAGACCGCTGGCACCTGAGCGTTGGGACGCTTCGGGCGAGAGCCCCATTTTGAAAAGGAGGCGCCCTCCACCAGTGTGATTGTTTGTCGGTTTGGACGAGCCTGCGCGGCGCCACGGCGAGAGCCGCGTGCTTGCAGCGATCCGCCCTCCGCCCGCGCAACTGCTGGAGGGGGTTGCTAAGACACGTGTGTGCGCGGCCCAGGGCGAGGAGGAGCGAGGGAGCAGGAGGAGGAGGAGGAGGAGCGGAGCGGGGGGGGGCAGGTGCAGGAGGAGGAGGAGGAGGAGGAGGAGGAGGAGGAGGAGGAGGAGGAGGGGGAGAGGGACGAGGAAGAGGGGCGCGAGGAGCAGGAGGAGCAGGTGTGCAGGCGGAAGGGGCAGGAGGCGTGGAGTGCCTCCGCCGCGGGCTCGGTCAGGCGGCGGGCCCCCCCTCCGCGGGGCGCAGGGCTACCTCGCCATGGTGGAGTTCCTCGAGTCGAGGGGCGCGGTGCGGCAGCAGGAGGGAGGGTGGCCGCCCTCCCACCTCCTCGTGCTCCTCCTCCTCCTCCTCCTCCTCCTCCTCTCCTCCTCCTCCCTCCTCCTCCTCCTCCTCCTCCCCTCCTCCTCCTCCTCCTCCTCCTCCTCCTCCTCCTCCTCCTCCTCCTCCTCCTCCTCCTCCTCCAGTCGGGGGCTGGCGAAGCTGGCCAGAGACCAGGGCTGGCGGGGGCTAGCAGCGGTGCAGCGTGAAGCCACTCCGCCGTTGGGGACGCTTGTCCCGGGGAGGTTGGTGAAGATCGCCGACTCGAAGAATCGGCTACTTTTTTGGTCTGCGGGGCGAGAGCGAACCTCTTCCGCTAAAAGCTAGGCGGGCACCGCAGAGCCTGAATTAGGGAGACAGGGCACAGGAAGGCGGGGCCTCAGGCGGCCGGAGCGGGCGGAGCCCGGGGTGCAGGCGGTGCAAAGAATCGGCTACACGTAAGAGTGACCTTTCGCCAGGGTGACCTTTGGGGCGGGTGCGGGTCCAGTGGGGCCTCCCGATCGCTGAATGCGACGTCACAGCAGCGGCTTGCGCGCCTGGCGGTGTGCCCACGGGGCCTCCCCCTTGGCCGCGCACCTTGCCTAGGGTCACTCTTGCGGGTACCCCAGATTTCGTAATAAAAGGGAGGGGGTCACAACCCTCCCAGACGAGAAGTCTTAGACCCCCCCAGACCATCCATAAAAGGGCGGCCCTTTGCCCAGACCCCCCCGAGCCCTCCAAGACAGCTCAAATCAGACCCCCCCCAAAATGTGACCCCCCCCACTATTATGGAATCCGGAGTAGCCGAAAGAAGAAACCACGGAGCAGATGTGAGGTCTCGCAGGTCCGAGCGGATGTCTCGGGGCCCCCCCCCCCCGGCGGCGCCTCCGGCGCCGCCAGGGAGGGGGCCCCGGTGCCGAGCCACGACATCCGCGCGTCTCTCCGAGAAGTTCTGCTTCTGCCGCCCTTTGTGTCCCTCTCGATCGACAGCGGACGAGAGTCAGAGGGGCCCCCTGAATGGCGCGGTGGCCACACCCCGCGGTGGCTCAGTGGGGCGGCGGGGTCACCGCACGGGCCTGGGACTCGGGGAGGACGTCTCGGGCGACCAGGGCATCCAGGGTCCGAGGCGAAGACCTCTCCTCCTCCTCCTCCTCCTCCTCCTCCTCCTCCTCCTCCTCCTCCTCCTCCTCCTCCTCCTCCTCCTCTTCTTCTCGGGCGACCGTGCGGTGAGGGACCGCCTGATGAGGTCCCTTCGGGCTCCGAGGTCGCCACACGAATTTGGAACCGCCACGAGACTGTTTGGCATTCTGCTCCGTCCGCTGACGAGGTGTGGGGACGGGGACACCTCTGGCAACACCCGCTTGGTACAGGGGCAATGTTCGCGGCCGAAGGGCAGAGAGTGCGGAAGGGGGGCATGACAGCAAGGGGCTTGAGCGAAGCGCACAGGAGGCACGAGGAAAGCCCGAGGCACCCCCGGCGAGAGTCGAGAACACCGTTAGGCACAGCTGGGCCTTCTCCCTGCAGGTCTCCGGAGAGCCACGAAGGAGGAGGAGGGGGGCACGCTGTGCTCGGCACGAGCGAACTTCTGCAAGGAAGAAAAAAAGGAAGGCGCGGGGACAGAGACCAGAAGCAGCTCCTGCTCCCTCTGAGCAGGACTCGCTGCCTGTGCCGTCGCGGGTGTGGCCCGCTTGAGGCAGAGAGGTCGCCTGCCCAGCTGCGGCTGCGCTCGGTTGTCGACAGCATGTGAGGTTGGGCATCGTACCCATGGTTTCCCGTACCCATTGCCTATTTCTAAGTATTCGAAAGTTCTTGGATTTTGGGGGGGGCAAGAGCCTTTCATTTCTGATTGCTCCATCCTGGGCCTCTTCCTGACCACCGGGGGGCCAGGAACAATCAGACACGGGCACAATTGGAAACGAGCACGATTAGAACTGAACGACGTGTACCCGTTTCCGGCGTGCCGGTGCTCGGAGGCAGAGACCTCCCGGCGCCCCGCGAGGCGGCCCGCCCCGGGAGGCGTCGAGCGCCGCGTGGGCTCCCGGGGCACCCCCGGGTGGGAGCTTGCCGGCGGCGGCGGGCGCGGCAAGGGCACCGGGGAGCGAGGATACACGTGGCTCCTTGCTGAGTGTGCGGAAGTTCTTTGATTTTTTGGGGGGGCCAAGAGCCTCTCCTTTCCAATTGTTCTATCCTGGGCCTCTTCCTGGCCACGAGGGGGCCAGGAACAATCAGAAACGAGCACAGTTAGAAGTGAGCACGATTAGAAATGAACGACGTGTCCGTTGGCGCGTCGCGCCGCTGGGTTTGACCCACCACGCTTCGGCGCGACGCGCTGAGCACGTCCTGGCCCGCAGGCATCATCGTTCCAAGCTCTGCCCAGCTTCCCGTCAACCCGTCCGCCGGAGTAGAGCGGCACGCGGTCAACTCTCGCAGGGCACGGGCCGCCGCCGCGACACGCTAAGCAAAGGTTCTTTCGGGCCTCCTGGGGGCGCCCTCCCGTCAATGACGGGATCCCTCGGAGATCTGGCCAAAACACACCCCAAGGCAGGTCCCGAGATCGATTTTGACGGGGATCGGGGTTCGAAGAGCGAGGATCAAGGCTTTTGAGACCGCCAGAGGCTTCCCGGGTCCTCTGGAGACGTCGGGCGACAGAGAGGGGGCGGGTGTTGCCAGAAGTGTTCTTGACCCAAGGTGCCCCCAGCTCTTCGCACGAGCGTGGAGCCTTTGGGGCCCTCCGAGCTCCACAAAGGGTGCTCTGGAGGACACTTCGGCCATCCTTGGGAAAGCTGGAGTCACCGTGGGTCAGGGCCGCCCCTAGCAGAAGCCGAAGGGGGGGCAGCAGGAGTTGCCACCTGGACCCCCACTCGGGGAGTGCCCTCCTCTCCACCCTCCTCCTCCTCCTCCTCCTCCTCATCCTCCTCCTCCTCCTCCTCCTCCTCCTCCTCCTCCTCCTCCTCCTCCTCCTCCTCATCCTCCCCTCCCCTTCCTCATCCTCCTCCTCATCCTCTTCCTCCTTCCCTCTCCTCCTCCTCCTCCTCTCCTGCCTCCTCCTCCTTCTCCTCCTCCTCCTCCTCTGCCTCCTCCTCCTCCTCCTCCTCCTCCTCCTCCTCCTCGTCCTCCGCTTCCGCCTCCTGGGAGCAGCCCCGTCCCCGCACGGAGTCAAGACGCTGAAATAAGGACCGCTCTGGGTTCGTAGTGGGCTCGCTGCTCCCTGGGTCATGCCGCGGTCGTTCGAGAGCCGTCCGCGTGCACCCAGGCGCTGCCGGCACCAAAAAGGGGCTCCTCCTCCTCCTCCTCCTCCTCCTCCTCCTCCTCCTCCTCCTCCTCCTCCTCCCCTCCAAAAGGGGGCCTCCTCCTCCTCTCCTCCTCCTCCTCCTCCTCCCTCCTCCTCCTCCTCCCTCCTCCCTCCTCCTCCTCCCTCCCCCTCCTTCCCCCCCCCTCCTCCTTCTCCTCCTCCTCCTCCTCCTTCTCCTCCTCCTCCTCCTCCTCCTCCTCCTCCTCCTCCTCCTCCTCCTCCTCCTCCTCCTCCTCCTCCTCCTCCTCCTCTTCCCCTCCTCCTCCTGCTTCATTCCTTGCTGATCGTTCCTTATTTCAGCAGCCCTTCTGCAGCGTGGAGAGGCAAGCGGGCCAGTTTCAGGAGCGCACTCCCCCCCGACGGGTCAGGCGTCGTGGTGGTGTACAAATGCCCTCTGCGGAGACGAGGGGCAGGGGAAGGGGAAGAGAAAGGAGGGAACGGAGCGGAAAGCAGGAACCGAAGGGAAGGTGGGACGGGACGGAAAGGCCCTTCTCCTCTTCCCTCCTTCCTCGTTCCTCTCCTCCTCCCTCCTCTCCTCCCCGTCCACCCTCCTCTTCCTCCTCTCCCTCTCTTCCTCTTCTTCCTCCTCTTACTCTTCTCCGCGTTCGAAAAAGAGGCAGTCCTGGTCTATTCTGGAGTCCACACAACAAACTTCGCATCGTCAGGGCGCTCGGCTTTCACGAGAAAAACTGCCATCGCATCATCGAAGTTCGAGTGGGTGGAGCCAACCTGGATAATTTTGAGGTAGAGCGGGTATAGTCATTGGGCAGTCTGCCAAGCACGCGACCAGTCAGAAAAAAGCATGCCGTCGGGACCCGGCGCACTGTCGGGTATACTTTCCACCATACACACAAATAGATCGTGAGACAATTGCCAGCTTGCTTCGGGAGGCCTCCTGGATGCACGGTTCGAAGCATCGATGAGCCTCATGAGAAACCCGAGCTAACAGAGTGCACAAGTCCCCAGTATCTGGCAAGCTCCTGGCAAGACTCATCAGCGTCGAAACGCGTAGTGTCAGTCGGGTCCGCCACCCACCTAGACCGTGCCTGCGGTTTTTCAACCTCCGAACACACATGTGCGCGTACAGCGAGTTTATGTTGACCAGATGTGTAATGTCAAACACGTTCTCGTCCCGCCTAGTACCTTTCATCTCCTCATCCAAAACGTTTTTATGAAGCCCAGACAAAATACATGAAACCGATCGTCCAGAGTAGTTCTACAGTCGGAGGTACTGAGGAAGTCTGAGAGCTTGGGATAAGCCTGTAGAGCCCTGGAGAGAGCCCACGCGATATGAGTCCGAACGGCCCGCGGCGCAGCAACAGCCCAAGATAGTCTCCCAGAGTCCGAAGAGGCCCCAGAAAGTTCAAGGTCCCACATAAGAGCACGACCAGCAGCTAAAACACAGCCCTGAGCCTCCACAGTGGCCTCCAGAGGGTCTTCCGAGAGAGCGCCTGCGCCTGCGATGGTCTTGACGCACTTGAACCTGGCTGCCGAGTCGCATGGACGCCAGCCACAAGCCGGCCTCGCGCATGTGGGAATGCACCTTGCACCACAGCATTCCCAAAATCTTGCTCCTACGCCTAACACTTTTGACGGAGCGTCCATGAGAGCCCTCATTGGCACCTGCACGTGCGTCCGTGGATCCGACCAGTGCGTGCTCTTGGCCTTGACCCGATCCACGCAATCGCGGGCATCGATGGTGCCTTCGGAGTCAGGCCGCCCCTTTTTGGCCCTGGTGCGTGCCGTGGCGGACCTTTTTCCCCTGCAGGCTCTCTCCCCCCGCCGTAGGGTGCCTGGCTAAACGTGGCGGACAGAGCGTGGAGCTCAAAAAAATCTCATCCTGGTTGGCTGTCGTTCAGTCTCGGGGTAAGTTAGGGATCATCGCCTCCACGAGCGTCTTATCGTCGTCGTCATCATCACCTTCGTCATCATCCTCAGCAGCAGCGTCATCAGCAGCATCATCATCAGCAGCAGCATCATCCCCATTATCATCACCATCATCAGCATCACCATCCGTATCATCATCATCAGCATCACCAGCATGCGCACCATCAGCACCATCATCATCATCATCATCATCATCATCATCATCATCATCATCATCATCATCATCTTCAGCATCAGCATCAGCATCACGATCATAATCATGATCGTGATCATGATCGTCATCGTCGTCCTCCCCCTGCTGTTCGTCATCCTCCCCCTCCCTCCTCTCGGGTCGGTCGGACGAAAGGGGGATTCGGAAAGGGTGGTGTAACGCAAACTTCTGCATGCATCTGGTTCGGCCCCGCCGCCAAGCGCCTTCTTCGATGCAAGGGGCGCCTCCAACGCCAGGAGGTGCTGGGATAATCGGCTACGCGAGCTGATTCGCGAACCCCCACTTGACTACCCCCCATTCCGTCCGACCCGATCCTTCTTGTCATTCACCCCAGTCACCAGGGCCCCTATCATCCGATAGATCGAAGCCCTATGTTACGGTCGGACTCGAGGTTTAAGATCCCGGTCGGCTCGGGGAGAGTACCCTAATGTTTTTCGTGTTTATTGGATGTTCTTGTGCATCCTAGGAAGGGCAATACCCTTGGATGTTCCGTGTGTTTGGGCCGGCGGAGGGTTTCAGATTCTTGAAGGCTGCTCTTCGTTATTAAGTCCGACCATAATCCTCTTCCTCCCCCCCCCTCTTCCCCCCCCCTTCCCCCCCCTCCTCCCCCTCCTCCTCCCCCTCCTACGCGTCCTCCTCCCGCTGTTATTCCTCGTTCCCCTCCCCATCCCTCCCCTCCCCTCCCCTTTGCGACGCGCTCCGTTCGCTGAAGCCCCCGAGGCCGCGCTACGCAGGGGAGGGAGGGCGCGGTGGACCCCGGGGCGCCAGCGCAGGAGCGGGCCTGGCTCACGGCGGCGAATCAGGAGGCGTTCGCGCCCAACCTCCCGCAGGACAGGGCCTCCTCCCTCCTCCTCCTCCTCCTCCTCCTCCTCCTCCTCCTCCTCCTCCTCCTCCTCCTCCTCCTCCTCTTCCTCCTCCACCTCCTCCTCCTCCTCCTCCCTCCTCCTCCTCCTCCTCCTCCTCCTCCTCCTCCTCCTCCTCCTCCTCCTCCTCCTCCTCCTCCTCCTCCTCCTCCTCCTCCTCCTCCTCCTCCTCCTCCTCCTCCTCCTCCTCCTCCTCCTCCCTCCTCCTCCTCCTCCTCCTCCTCCCCCCCCCCTCTCCTCCTCCTCCTCCTCGTCCTCCTCCTCCCTCCTCCTCCTCCTCCTCCTCCTCCTCCTCCTCTCTCCTCCTCCTCCTCCTCCTCCTCCTCCTCCTCCTCCTCCTCCTCCTCCTCCTCCTTCTCCTCCTCCCTCGCCGCGCCGGAGCATACGTGGCCGTCCTATCTGTTCGCGCCACGAGGGCTCTGTATTGGAGCGGCAGTCATGGCCAGCACGGGGTCACACAGCCCCGTGAGGTCACAGGGCCAACACGGGGTCACACAAGCCCAATCAGGGTTTCCCCCGAGGGCTCACGATAGGGGTGACACGACATGCCCGCCAACACGGGCGTGTGACTGCCGCAAGCAGGCAACGCTTCAAGTGGACGCGGCCACGTAATCATTTGATGCGCGATGGTGTTCTGTTGCTTCAACGTTCGGAGGAGGGCCAGTCGAGACAAGGGCGGGCCTGCCTGGCGTTGTTCGTCCTTCTTGGCCCTCCTGGAGACTTCTCGTCGCCGTGGCCACATCCGCTTCGAAAAATGGGTCAGGATGGACCCGGGAGGTGTCCAGGGACCGATGTTGAGCGGACTCGGGCCAGGCGGGAGGACCGCCGCTGTCTCAGCGGGCCCTCCTTCGGGGGATCGTGTTTTTCTCTGTCCTCCGTTGTTGGGTTTTCTTTTTGAGTAGAGCACTGTGGCCGTGACTTCTCCGTCCCGCCCGCCGCTTTCCTCTCTCTCTTTTTTTCTTTTTTTTTTCTCTCTCTCTCTCTCTCTCTCTCTCTCTTTGTCTCTCTCTCTCTCTCTCTCTCTCTCTCTCTCTCTACACACACATGTACGAAAATCGTATATGTGTATATATGTATCGCTCTCTCTCTCTCTCTCATCCCTAGGGGGGCTGCGATTTGCGATGGCTCCAGGGGGTGCAGCACAGTGACGCCATACGGGGACTCAGTAGTCATCGCCACCCTGGGGGCTGCGATCTGCAAAATTGCCGCCACTTTCGAGAGCTGTTGGGGGGAGCCAGCACAGTGTCGCCATAAGCGGATTCAGATTAGACCTCGCCATCCCTGGGGGGGGCTGCGATCTGCGAAACGGTCGCCACCTTCGAGGGCTACTGGGGGGGGAAGCACAGTGGCGTCTTACGCGGAATCAGATTAGACCTCGCCATCCTGTGGGGGGCTACGATCTGCGAAATTGTAGCCAATTTCGAGGGCCTTTGGGGGTCCAGCACAGTGACGCCACACGCAAACTCTGATCGGTCTCGCTATCCATGGGGGACTGCGATCTGCGAAACCGTCGCCACTTTCGAGGGCTGCTGGGGAGTGGCGCCTCACGCGGATTCAGACTTGGCCTCGCGATCTGCGAAGGTGTCGCCACTATCAAGGGCTGCTGTGGGGGGCAGCACAGTGACGTCCTACGCGGACTCAGACTGGACCTCGCTATCCAGGGGCTGCAATCTGCGAAATTGTCGCCACATTCGAGGACAGTGACGTTCTACGCATATTCCGATTAGACCTCGCCATCCCTAGGGGGGGCTGCGATCTGCGAAACCGTCGCAAGTTTCGAGGGCTGCTGTGGGGGCCAGCACGGCCTGCGATCTGCGAGACCGTCGCCACTTTCGAGGATTGCTGGAGGGGGCAGCGCAGTGACGTCCTACGCAGATTCAGATGAGACCTCGCCATACATGGGGAGCTGCGATCTGCGAAACCGTCGCTACTTTCGAGGGCTGCTGGGGGGGGCCAGCGGAGTGACGTCCTACGCAGATTCAGATCGGACCTCGCCATCCCTGGGGGACTGCGACCTGCGAAACCGCCGCCACTTTCGAGGGCGTGCTGGGGGGGGCCAGCGGAGTGACGTCCTACGCAGATTCAGATCAGACCTCGCCATCCCTGGGGGACTGCGACCTGCGAAACCGTCGCCACTTTCGAGGGCTGCCGGGGGGCCAGCGCAGTGACGTCCTACGCGGATTCTGATCAGACCTCGCCATCCATGGGGGACTGCGATCTGTGAAACCGTCGCCACTTTCGAGGGCTGCTGGGGGGGGCCAGCGGAGTGACGTCCTACGCGGATTCAGATCAGACCTCGCCATCCCTGGGGGACTGCGACTTGCGAAACCGTCGCCACTTTCGAGGGCTGCTGGGGGGGGCAGAGGAGTGACATCCTACGCAGATTCAGATCAGACCTCGCCATCCCTGGAGGGGGCTGCGACTTGCGAAACCGTCGCCACTTTCGAGGGCTGCTGGGGGGCCAGCGGAGTGACGTCCTACGCGGATTCAGATCAGACCTCGCCATCCATGGGGACTGCGATCTGCGAAACCGTCGCCACTTTCGAGGGCTGCTGTGGAGGGCCAGCGGAGTGACGTCCTACGCGGATTCAGAGCAGACCTCGCCATCCCTGGGGGGGACTGCGACCTGCGAAACCATCGCCACTTTCGAGGGCTGCTGGGGGGGGGCCAGCGGAGTGACGTCCTACGCAGATTCAGATCAGACCTCGCCATCCCTGGGGGACTGCGACCTGCGAAACCGTCGCCACTTTCGAGGGCTGCTGGGGGGCCAGCGGAGTGACGTTCTACGCAGACTCAGATCAGACCTCGCCATCCCTTGGGTGGGGGGGGGGCTGCGACTTGCGAAACCGTCGCCACTTTCGAGGGCTGCTGCGAGGTCCAGCATGGTGACGTCCCACGCAGGCTCAGGTTCGACTTCTCGCGGCGCGCCTGCGCGCCTTGACTTCCCGCACTTCAGAAAGGCAGGGGAGAGGCCCAGAGGCTGGCAGAGCAGCTCGGCCTCGCTCAGTTCTTGCACTGTCTGCTGTAATCGGCTGGTGGCGTGCCTCGAAAGATCATCTCTTTCCTTCCCTTGCCTTTCTCTCGTCGTCCCTTGTTGCCATCCTGTTGCCATGTCCGCATCCTGCTGTCCCGCTGACATGTCATGATTATCGCCCGTCTTCTCCTCTCAGTCTTCGCCCCTCGTTCCCTTCGAGCCGGGGGAATCATTGTCCATGTTCACCGAGCCTTTGTCCATCGATCGGTGTCCTGCGAGTCGCGCAGCTCGCGAGCCTCCCAGCTAACGCTCGCACAGCACAGGTCCCTTGCCACGCTACCACCCCCGAAAAAAGCTACCCGGCTGTCGTGGCCACGCGTTGCGCCAGGGTTGGGCGCATCGCAAGGGCACGCTGTGCCTATTTCGCTGTGCCGGTGAACTGCGGCGCCTGTAGTATCGGCATCGCGTGCAGGACAGCCAGCCGCAGCTGTCTTGAGTCAATCCAGACCTGAGGCCGGCACGCACTGTCTGGAGACCGGTCGGGAACTTTGGCTGAGCGCGTCGCTCCGCCAGTTCGGGCCCACCACGTTTCGGCGCGACACACAATCCACGTCCCAATTCCCAAGCGTCAACTTCCCGAGCCTTTTCCAGCTCCCCGCCCCGTGGAGCGGTAGAGAGGGGCACAAGGAGGATCAGGGATAGGATGAGCATGTTGCTTTGATATCTCATCGCGGACACTGCAGTCTTAGGTCAGGAGACAGCCTTTGAGAGTACACGAATCGAACACCTGCCAACTGCCTCGTGCAAGTGTGGTGCGCCTGGTCCCCCAGACACATGTGGGGACGAGCAGAAAATGCCAGCTACAAGTGCCCAAAGACGCAACGTGACGCGACTCCCAAACGCTGTAATAGTTGCAAACATCCACTTGAACAGCGCGCGCTGAGGAAAGAAACAGGAGTCACGCGTTCTGGCCCGTTGAAAACGGGGTCCTCACGAACCCGTAGAAGAATCAAAAGTGATGTACCACCAACGCAAGTGCGAATATTATTCTCCCACGTTGGCATGGTAATGGGCACTCAACGGGAATATGGCAACGCCATAACATGATCTCAACCATCAGGGACTGCACCAAGAAGGCAACGAAGTAAGGAAAACATAATGTCCAGACTTCAATGACAAATGAGCGCGCAATATGCAAAGTGTTTCAAGGTTCCGTGAGGCGTGTGCCGCAAGAAGCGGCATGTCATCTGAATCAGAAGTTGGAATCAGATGTTGCCCTGCTCAGTGCTTCAAATGTGGCGTTGGCCGCCAGGCAGGCAGCATGTCTTGTGCTCTCCGCCCCTCGTCCGTCGTCGTGGGGTCTCCGAGATGGGGCAATGCACACGACCGCTCGTACGCAACACCAGTGACAGAAGACCACTGCTCGAGCCACGACTGAGGTGAGCAGGAGGGCACGTGCGACGCGGCCGTGGACACTGCCGGCCTGCCAGCGGACGCGCATTGGACGTGCGGTCCGCGGCCCACGATGCCGCCGCGGTCCGAGCGACTCCTGCGCCGCCTTCTCCGCGATGCCCACGCAAGCCGCCGGGGGGCTCTGCTCAGGCGAAAGGCGCTCGCACCACCCTGGCCAGCGCGTTCAACCCGGGGGCGACCCAGTCGCGTTGCTAGGGCCAGCTCCGAGCCGAGGTGGCGTGAGCGGAGTAGTGCCACGGCGAGAACGAGGAGGAGGAGGAGGAGGAGGAGGAGGAGGAGGAGGAGGAAGGCGCTGTAGACGGCGGGGGAAGGCGGAAAGCGCAGTTGCGGGAAAACGTGTTTGAGGACCGTCGCCTTGGACTCTTGCAGGGGACGCCAAGGCGCCCTGGCGGGCGGGGTCTACCCTGGAGAGCTTCCCTGAGACCCCCGACGGCCTGCCACAGGTCCACCCCAAAGGAAGGAGACAGAGGATCCGTCCAGCCTCGCTCGGCAGCGTCGTGTGCCCAGGCGTCCGCCAGAGGTCCTGCCAGAGGCTGTGGAAGTGGGCGCAGGCAGGAGAAGGGCCACTCGAACCTCGATCCGTTCGGGATCTTCGGCTTCGCATGTCGCTCCGCGGGTTCTGGCACACCACGCGTCGGCGCGGCACGCGAAGTATCCAGTTGCCCATCCCCAGGCGTCAAGGTCCCAGGGTGTTCCCGGCTTCCCGCCCCGCGGAGCGGAGCGACACGCCATCCGCTTGCGGGGCACAGCGTGTCGTTGGGGCCGCCGCGGCGATACGCTGAGCAAAAGTTCCTGACCTTAGGCATCTGCCAGAGGTCCTGGAACTGGGCGCAGGTAGGAGGAGGACTCTTCGAACCCCGAGAATGCCCGCGGAAGGCTCAGAGATCGCGCCCAAAGGCAAATTTGTAAAGTGAGATGTTTTTGGTGCAGCGTCCCTACCGAACGGCTTATCATGAAGCGAGCAGGGTGCGGGCATGGTTCAGAGTATGCATGTCCATCGTGCGGCTTCGCATTCGCCCCACTGCAGGAGAACTAGGTCAGCGAAGTTCCGAATAAGAGCCGTCCATCACCGTGGAGAGCTGAGCAACTGACCGCATGGCGTTTTCTGTTGACCCATTGTTTTCCATGTCTGCAGCTTTGTAAAGTTCTCGCGTGCCCCTATGTACCATTGAGACCGTGTACCCTCGTTGCTCACTTGATCGGTGTTTCCAGCAAAAGTGCATTGAATTGGCGGGGCAGGTCATCGCATTAAGAAGAGCGAGATAAGGGGTCAAAGCAAAACGGACATACTATAGTTGCAGGAGAAGGGTGGCGGAAAGAGTGGGAAACGGAAAGAACGAGAGAACGACAGTGGAAGGGGCATAGAGCGTGCGTGCACGACGAAGTGGAGCACAGTGACAGACAGAGCTTAACTCGAAGAAAATTAGAAAAGGCCAGTATAGAAACGGTGACCTCTGGGCAGAGAGAGACGCAGAGTCAGACTGACAGAGAAGTAGGCAGGAAAGGAAGGAAAGAGGAGAGGGAGACAGGTGCTCAGAGAAAGTGCGAGCAAGATGGGTTTGCGCACGCCTCTCCTGCAATGCTACCCCTCCAGTCCGTCCATCCCCACTGCACCGGGGCTTTCCCGTTCGCGAAGCGTCGCGTCTGGAGTCGTTGCCTCAGCGGACAGTACTGCTTGCCATTCCAAGCGCCAGCTACGCCCCGGCGGTCGAATTCACGGGCGTGGTTGCCAGTAAGTTCGTGGCCAATAGGCCTTGGAGGCACCCAGGAGTCTCACGAAGGCTCCGCAGCGTGGATTGTGGGCCTTCGGGTCATGGCTCGGCTCTCCGGTGGCCGTTCGGCGCGCTCTGGGCACCCCCGGAACGCTCCTGGCGAGGCGCCGCAGCTGGAGCGCACCTCGAAGCTGACACGCCGCCGAGGAGCCGACGAGAGCGCCCGAAGACCTCGAGGCGCTGGAAGCTCCAGGCTTGAGGCCCGAAGACCTCGAGGCTGGAGCCTCGAGGCTCGGGACGCCCTGCCGCGTGGCAGGGCCTCTCGCAGACCGCCGGGAGCGGGCGCGGCCGGGTGGGTGGAGCGCGCTGGGGCGCTGGGCGCCGCGGGGGCGCCCAGGGGTGGACGGGCGGGCTCCCCCACAGGGGCCGGGAGAGCGATGCGGTGGGGCGCTCGTCGTCCCGGTCCTGCATCCTCCTCCCGGCCTGCTTCTCCTCCCCACCCCTCCCCTTCCTCGATGCTCCTCCTGCCTCCGCCTCCTCCTGCTCCTCCCTCGCCCGTCCTGGTCCGTCCCCCTCCCTCCTCCGCCCTCCTTCCTTCCTCCATCCTCACCCGTATTTCTTTCACTCCTCCTCCCCCTCCTCCTCCTCCTCCTCCTCCTCCTCCTCCTCCTACTCCTACTCCATCCGCCATCCGCCATCCTCCTCCTCCTCCTCCTCCTCCTCCTCCTCCTCCTCCTCCTCCTCCTCCTCCTCCTCCTCCTCCTCTCCTCCTCCTCCTCCTTCTCCTTCTCCTTTCTCTCCTCCTCCTCCTCCTCCTTCTCCTCCTCCTCCTCCTCCATCATCCTCCTTCTCATCCTCATACTCCTCCTCCTCCCTCCTCCATCCTCCTCCATCCTCCTCCATCCTCCTCCGTCCTCCTCCGTCCTCCTCCAACAGCTTTACAGATGGAGGGCGGGTCGCTTCCAAAATGTGACTCTCGCCTTTACGCCGCGCACATTCGTTTTCAACATCCGCCAGAGCTTCACAGATTGAGGGCAAGTCGTTTTCAAAATGTGACTATCGCCTGAGCGCCGAACACATTCGTTTAAGAATTTCACGAGCGTTTTACGAATTTGGGGCGGGTGGTTTTCAAAATGCGGTTCTCGCTTTAGCGCCGAGAACACTCGTCTTAAGCATGTGCAAGGGCTTTGCGGGTTGAGGGTTCTCGCTTTAGCGCCGCGCACATTCGTCTTACAAAATTACAAGAACTGCAAGGATTAAGAGCGAGTCTTTTTCAAAATGTGGATTTCGTTTCAACGCCGCGCACATTCGATTTCAACATTTCCAGGAGGTCTGCGAATTGAGAGTGGTTGGTTTTCCACAATGTGGATAATTGTAGCGCCGCGGCACTCGTTTGAACACAATTTCAAGAGCTTCACGGATTCTGGGCGAGTCGTTCTCAAAATGTGGCTATCGCCGTAGTACCGCGCAGAATGGTTTTAAACATTTGCAAGAGCTTCACGGATCGAGGGCGGGTGGTTTTCAAATTGTGGTTTTTGTTTTAGCGCCGCGCACAGTTGTATTAAACATTCGCAAGAGTTTCGCGGGTTCCCATGGTTCACGAAAACAGGAATGGGGTTTTTGGAACGAGCCAGGATTGTCAGGGCGCAGAAGTTACGTTGGTTCGCGGTGTTGAAATCCCAGGGATGGCGTTCTGGTACGATTCAGAAGCGTCAAGACGCAACAGTCAAGTTGATTCGTGACGATGACGTCCCAGGAATGGTGGTCTGGCAGCACGCTTCAGGATCTTCAAACAGTTGTCTCCCAACGGCCCATCTCCCTCAGTGGAAATGAATCTTCGTATGGGGCCTATGAAGAGGGAGCTTTGCGAGAGTGTTTACTCCAACGTCATTGATGAGTCTTGGGTTTACACTGGTCCGCCTCCTTCTCCTCCTCCTCCTGCTCCTCCTCCTCCAGCCGGCACATGTTCGATCTCGGGAGGTTTTTGCTGCTGTGATTTGGCGTCTCAAACGTTCGAAAGCTCGACGTGCAGTACCACCGTAGTCTACACCGAGAGAGAGCTGGTTGATGGCGTTGGCGACGCCGCCGCATGGCGAGGAAAGATCTGGCGCCTTTTTGCATCGTTTCGACCAGTTCTTGTTCACGATCAGGTACACGCAAAGCATGCCACAGATGTGAACTGTCAGCGCGGGTTGTCGGGTGCAGCAGGGCAACAACAAGGAGAAGGGTAAGGCGGAGAGGATCGTTCACTTGTTGGACCCCATCGGTAAGGCATATGCGGGACAGATGTGGGCTAAGTGACGGGCGTATGGTTCGGATAACTCCAGTGGTTTCAAGTCCAGACGGAGACGAGAGCAGACTATTCTCCAGGTCAAAGTTGCACGATGGCATCTGGAGAAACACAGACTGAATTGAGCGGCCTCGTTCTATGATCAGGCCAATGCGTTTGCGCCGGTGCACCACACTACCCTGGACGAGGTGATTGACCAATCCTTCTCACCAGGCGATGCTGCACTTCTTCGACAGCGACACTCTCGTGCTTTCTGTTTTCTTCGGGCTGATGCTGGTGAGTGGGCGTTGATGTCTTCAGGCTGTGGCGATCTTCAAGGGGATGTGGCTGGTCCTGAAAAGTTTATCAACGTGCTCGACCCTTGTGTGGACAAATGGATTCAGCACTCCTCGAACGATGCAGGTCGTGAGTTCTCTCATGTGCGTGAACCCGCTATTCAGAACATGGTGGATTTCAGTTACGGAGCGTATGTGGATGACATATTCCGCATGGGCCTGTGTGCGGACGCGAAAAAGGAGGCTGCCGTTCGGATTTGCGAGTGGGATGAGCAGCTACACGTACACGTCAGCGTCCCCACGGGTTTGCGACAAAATGCTGAAAGAAACGAGGCGTTCTTCAGGGCGTACGGTAAGGGGCCCCATCAGCATATTGATTTCGACGGGACCCCCAAGCTATGCTTGAGACATCTTGGAGCGCGGCATCACTTCGATGGGATTGAGTCTTGGGGACTTGAGAAAAGACAGGAAGCCGCACGTCTGGGGTGGAATGCTCTCGGGAAGTTCTGGTCCAATCGGGCCCCTCTCAAAATCAAGAAAATCGTGTTCAACGGCATGGTGGTGAAAACTTATTTCTCGGGCGGGGAAGCTTGGAGGCGTCCAGGATCGTGCTGCTAAGCATATCGACTGTTTCATAGCGATGCATGTTCGGGTGCTGCTGCTGGGGAGGGCATTACTAGCATCACGAAAACGAGCGTAATCTTACCTACTGCCGTACTCATAGCAGCTACGAAGTTCGACGACGACTGAATATCCCGGCGACGACGAGTACCTGAAGATATCGACGACTCCGACGGCATCCACACGATCATGCTGTATTACTCGGAGTGTTCGCGGGCCCTGTGAAAGGCCAGCCGCAGCTCACTGGTCGTGGTCGTCCTACTCATCGCAGTAATCCGTGCTTGAAGCAGTGGGGGGAGGACCTGAACGTGCTAGACCGAATTGATCGTCCCGCTCAGGACGCCCTCCGACGGAAAGGCTGGTACGCGCTCTTCGATCCAGCGTCTACGTTCAAGCCCCCCAACGAGAGCTTGCTGGATTTTGGAGTACCTCCTCCTGACCCCCAACCTGCTCTACCTCCGCGCTCGCAGTCCTTGTTCACATGCGAGTTCCTGACAGACGGAGCTCAGGGTGCCCAGTCGTGTCCTACCCAGAAGCAGCTTCGCGTACATGATTATCGTGAGCATGTCAAATGTTGTGATCATCTTAAAGCAGCAATTACAACAAGACTCCATGGCGTGATCAAGTATTTTCGATGGTTACCAAGACTAAACTACTAAACTATATTGTATTGCTCTGGGGGCGAAGACCGCGTGTTTGCCCGACGAAGCGCGGTCCGTCTGGTCGTCTCTTATCGGCTCTAACCACACTTTCACCGATAGCGTGCCCATTCTGTGCTGATTGTAACTTCTCTTCCTTGGCAGAGGCTCACGCGCATATACGCCTACACTTCACTCCACAGGAAAGCGATGGAGGCACTGGCGAAGCAGCTGGCGTCATCGGCGGAGTTGGAGCCGGCCTTGAAGCATCGTGCAGTGGGCCCGGCTGGGACGCATGCTCAGTTTCGCAAGCACGCGGTGGCCACAGCGAAGACAGTGGTGGGGATCGACGGCGAGGTTCGGCGCTAGACGGGAGCACTAGCGCTTGAAGGGAGCACTAGAGACCACGGCTCTAGTGCCCGAGGAACATCCCTACTTGGGGGGGACGCAGCAGACGGGTCGAGACTACGACGCGGAGCGGAAGGCGCTGAAAGAGGCCA